TGGAGCTTTCCTCTTTCCTTATCCTCATCTTCAGTTGGCACTTCGATAACAAGTTCCGATTCTTCATCTTGATCACTTTCGTCGTCAAGTTTATTTTTAGTAAGACTTGCTACTTTATCGGCTATACTAAAGACAAGTGGTGGCGATTTCTTTGCATTTAATAACTGCCTCAAGTCAATATCTTTCCTCTTTCTCAACTGCAAATGTAGGTAATATATAATAAGTTTCATAATAACTGTGCTAATATTATAATTTAGTTGTAACTCAATACATAATTCAACATAATAACAATATAAATCACGATATAAATTTGCGCAGTAAATAAATTTAAATTATATACCTCATCTGATATATTTGTTTCTTCTATGGTCTTCAGATGATCTTCTTTTGTTTTTTCAAGAGTTTTGTTTGATTCTGCAGTTCTTTCACTATAGAAATCTACAGGCGGTGCAGCAATTTGTGTCTGTTGAGTGGCTAAACCTAATGCCGCGTTCGGAAGTTGGAGCCCAAGTTCATTTGCTGACTGCATTAACATAATCTGCTCGTAAGGAACTCTGTCCTCATCTGATCCCCATCGCGTCTTTTTTCCAGAAGGCTTTCTTTCCCTCACATTAGTCTTTTGCTGATTTGTTTGTTCTTCTATTTAATAATTAAATAATTACGCTTTTAATATTAGAATTAAAACGAATAAAAAAATAATATTACAATATTTTGTAAAAATTGGTTAATTTCCATTTATTAAAAAAGAGAATTACCTTTCTCTTCTTTTTCATCAGCTTTTTCTACAGGTACTGATAAATTCAATTCGAAGAGACTAGGAATCTTTTGATTTGTTGTATCTTGACCTTGTGCTAGAGAACGCGCTGTATTATTTATCATTAATACTGCACCTTCTCTACTTAACCTTGGAAAATCACCAAGAATTTCCTTTGGTGCAGTTTCTAAGTGTTTTAAAAGAATACCTTTTATCTAAAAAATAAATCACAAAATAATTCAAATATAATTACTTTCAGTAATAAATTTAGTATAATTCATTTCATTTTTTATTAGTATCAAATTTTTTCATTTATCATTTATTTCATGTATATTGACACTATATTTTTTTTGTAAATGAATACATATTATGATAACATATAGATTATAAAATTACAATATACCTGTTCATTTAAAGGCTGATGAGAAAATTTACAATTGTCACCCTGACTGCACTTTAAACCTGTGTGGAAGAACTTGCAAGGAAAATCATGATGCATATAGAGGCACTTGTCTCGTTTTGCACAACAATCCATAAGATAGAACTTGCACAATTCCATCTTTCTAGG